ATAATACACCTTACCTAAAAGTTAATGTAACCGTCCGGTCAAGGGTCACAAGTTTTGGCGCGACCGTACGTGTTTACAGCGTTGAACCGCGCCGTTGACAACAAGAAGCTTTACTTGAATAGAAGACTTATTTGCTGACTTACTGTGGGATTTGTACTTTAATCCCTATTTAGATTGGGATGTAAGGACTTTCCTTACTTTTAGGTCAGAAGAACAGGGTTCCACGAGGCCAATTTTAGAGCCATTACGGAGTAGTAGTGCGTGGTTTGCAAGACTGAACAAGGGAAAACAAGGCGTGTTGTGCGGTAAGAAAATTATATGCTACCGTTTTATCCAGTAGCTATATATATATACGCATGTATTAGAAAGGTTATTGTAAAATTGCGTCATAGTGATTAGGGCATTCACAGTTAAAAGGCCTTGAAATTACGTCAGCGACTAAAATTTTTAGTCGCTGACGTAATTTTAACTTTCACTTTTGGGAAAAAACAACAATCGACGACTGTATTGTCTAAGCAAGGACCTTGCTCTAACTGAACATGACTCATATTGTTATGACCAAACAGAACTTTCTGATTTGACTGTCATCATTGACTTAAACTGTGACTTGTTTATTTGTAATAGTTGATGGTTCTCCATTAGTGAGTATTATACTTATATTTCTCATAATATATATAATAATATATAACATACTACTATAATAATATATAACATACTACTAGTAGTATACTGCACTCTTCTTCCTGGAGTCTTAAAAACACATCATTACAAACGTATTAACACAATAGACGTATGTACACTTAAACCATGCTCTCTTAATTAGAACCAGGTAATCTGATAAGTGTAACTATACAGGTAAGAAATATAACTTACGAATAGGAGGTTTTGTTTTCATTGTGCCAGTGTTTATTGTGTTTTCACATGATATGCATGTCCGGGGGCACTGACAGGAAGTTAGGTCAAAGGTCCCAGAAAATTCCCAGAAAAGGTTATCTCATTTCCTGTCTTCCAGGTCAACAATAAATAATGAATAAAACAGATTTTTGTTTGTCTTATTTAAAGCATTGCTGCAAAGAGTGAATTAGAATTAACAGTTACAACATGGCGGAACAAGGGCCACCAAACCTACTGGACATCTACCAGCAAGCACGGGTATGTGTTTAATAGTTCTTTGCATTTTTGTTTACAGGATTTTTTAGTGATACCTCCATATCATGATAGGAACATGCCTTGCACTTGCATAATCTTTAGAGTACTGTCAGTTCATCTTATATTATCATATAGCCAGGTGACGTTGACCAATCAGAAGGCTCCATTCCACATTCCTTATGACGCCGTAATGTCACAAATAGAGTCAAAATCGGGTATTTATTCATCCCAATTCATACATTTAAACAACCCAAATAATCACCCGCAGAACAGGGCTCTAGTTCTAAAAAATCCCAAAATAACTTTAGTTGTGTTCCAATGACCTCGGCTGACTCCCATAAGAACACCTGTTCCCTGCCTGTGACCCAGATAGAAGACATAGAACATGAACTCTACCCAGTGACCTCAGGTGACTCCAGAGGGAACTATGTTCTATGTTCTATTCAGCATGTGCATTGTATCACTTACTGCATCAGTTTGGATAGACTATGGTGTAAGCTATATGATAATAGTGTTAATGTCCCGCCCTTTCTCGGTGAATATGGTGTGATAAAGCCTTGTCAGTTGCTATAACCACCTCATAAAGCCACCTCGTTTGCTGCGCTCACTTGGTGGCTTTATTCTGTGGTTATAGCAACTGACAAGGCTTTATCACACCATATTCACCTCTTGGCGGGACATTAACCCTTAATTGATCTGTGCTTGTTTAATTTCACGTAAGAGATTAAAGGCAGTTTTCATGTTGCTTTAAGTTTGTTGTTGAAACAATTCTGTAGTACAGATCTGTAGCATTTCACAATAGAAATGCAGTATCATGATTACATTGACATTGAAAATAAAAGTATCCTCATGCAAGTTTTACTTTGCTAAACTGTATCATATAAGTTGGACCCCTATACTTGGGTAGGCCCGCTCCGTACTTGGGTAGGCCCGCTCCGTACTTGGGTAGGCCCGCTCCGTACTTGGGTAGGCCCGCTCCGTACTTGGGTAGGCCCGCTCCTTTACTTATCCATCCCCCCAGCCAGAACAAAAAGACTCCAGAACTCGTTCCTACATCAGTCTATCAGACTATACAACCAGACTGTGTAAAGGTGTCATATCTGGGATGCCCTGTTGATTTAATGTATATATTTTAATAGTATGTATATATGTGTAATATATGTTATGTACTTATCTTGCTGTTATTACTGTAAATACCAATGCCATTCAGGCAACACATATTTTTGTATGTCTGCAACGTTGGTATGAAATAAAGAATTGAATTGAAAAAAAAAGCACATCAAAAATTTTACAATTGTTCGCAAATGACAACACTATAACTTTACATTCTGGTACATAGTAAAAAAGGTGATGTACATCAATGCCAACTAGAACAGAATAGAAAAAAAACATACCAGTTACATGTAACGTTACCCCTTAACTAACTTATCACCGTTTTGTGACTGACCGACATGCCCAAATACAGCGTCACTAGCTGGGTAATCAAACACGTAAGAATGACCTTTGACATTGG